GCCGGGGCCCGCGCGCCGTGCGTTGATTGCCCCACCCCTGCGCCCGCCTTGGGACGTTGCTGAGCGGCCCACCCATCCCCCTCCCCACACTTGTTTCGCCCCGCCGGTCACTCTAGGTTTGGCATCAAGAAGCGCGGCGACACCTCGGCCTGGACCGACACCCCAGAGCAAGCCGCCCTCCGCGCCGCCGGCCTGCTGCCCGCGTCCGCAAACGCGCCGCTCGCGATCGCGGCCGCCGGCCCGGCCGGGCGCCTCACCGGCGGCGAGGCGGCGCCGGCGCCGGGGGTGGCGGAGGCGGTGCGGGAGTATAACGAGAGGAACCGGCCGAAGAGCCTCCTGGAGCAACACAAGGAGCGGCAGGCGGCGGCGGCGGCGGCCCAGAAAGGCGGGAAGGCCAAAAAGAAGGAGAAAAGTGGCGAGAAGGGGGACAAGGGGAAGAAGGAAAAGGAGAAAGGGGAGAAACGGCCGGCGGCGGGTGAGTGGCAGGCAGAGGGGCGGGGGCGCCGACGAGACCCAGGATCTGCTCGGTTGAGTGGATCTCGCGACTGCGGCTCGCTGAAGCTCGGGTCGGCGGCTTTTTGGTTTCCGCCGGGCCGGAACGCGCTTGGTCGCCCAACAGGCGGGCATGCGGGCGCCCGCCGCCCGCTCTTACGGCTTCGCCGCCGTTACCTCCCCCTTCCCGCCCGCAGGGCCTGCGGAGGAGGATTGGGTTGGCAAGCACCCCTGGAGACCGGTGGGTGCTAGCGGGCGGCAAAGGGCGAGGGGGGGGGGGTGCGGCCGCGGCCGTGGCTTGCGTGGGAAGCGTCAGCAGGCGCCGCAGGCGCGGCGGCGGCTGCCGCGCCAACCCGGCGGTTGGCACGGGGCAACCTCTCCTGTTGCGGCTGATTGCCGGGCCGGTCCGCAGGGGCGGCCTGGCGCCGGGGACGGCGCACACGCCTCAAAAAATCGCCACAACCAATGGCCGCTCCATCACCCTGCTGGTTGACATCACCCTGCATTCACTTCCCTCATCTTCCCTCGTCTCGCCGCCCCAGTTTGACCGTGACAAGGACCTGGAGATCAAAGCGACTCCCAAGAGCACCGCCGCCATGCTCAAGGACGGCGCGGGGCTCTCCAGCCGCTTCGCGAGCGGCGGGCGGTGACGCGGGCCGCTGCACGGTGCACGCGGGCCTCAGTTGTGGCAATTGCTGCTGAGAACGCAGCATGCCGTTCTTGAGAGTGGCTTTTCCATTCGTGCATCATTCAATTGATCACTTCGTGCAGTAATAAACTTACCTGATCGACAGATCGAGTCAGTCACCGGCACTCGCGGACGATTGGGGCCAGCAGCGGTGCTCATTGGCCTTTCAATCAACTTAAATTGCGTTTCAGCTCTTCTTTAGCAGGTGTGCGACTCCCGGGACGTGTCTAGGGAGCCACGCACACCATCACCAGAGGACCAGAGGCAGCATGGGAGCAGTGATGAATGCAGACGGCAATTAGCACACGCATTATATGTGGCGAATGTGAATTGTGCCAATCGTTCGCGTGCCTTGGAGATGCGCAGCCGCTCGTAACCGTACCGGCCGCCTCCGCCGCGCGCCATTTCTGCTCCGCTGCACCCCGACCGCATACGTCAGCCTTGCCCGAGCAACACCGACCCACGACGACGTCGCTGCGGGGGATTGCCATGCGGCTGATTCAGGGCCGTGTGCCCCTGGCGGTCGCTGCGCGACCAGCGGTCACCTCTGTGCCACCTGTGTTGTTACGCCGGCAGGCGCGGTGCGTTGCGTCAGAGCCGGCGGGCCTGTGCCGCGCCTTGAGCAGCAGCAGCACTAGCAGCAGCGGCAGCATGCCGGCGGCACGCTGGCCCCTGCCCCGCTGCAGCCTGCCGCCAGCCGCGGCGGCCTGCAGCAGCGCCGCCGCCGCCCCGCGCCGCAGGCCGCGCGCGGGCGCCGCCCCAGCCCAGGCGGAGGCGGCGGTGGCAGCGGCGGGCGCGTCGCTGGAGGAGTTGCGGGGCGCGCTGCAGCTATACAATACGATGGCGCGCACAAAGCAGGGGCTGCGGCCGCGCGAGGGCATGGGGGACAAGCTGCAGATGTACGTGTGCGGCGTGACGGTCTATGACTACTCACACATCGGTGAGCCGCGGCGGCGGCGGCGGCGACGCGCGCCCGTAGCTCGGGGGCTGGGGCCGCGGCCATGGGGCGCCTGGGTCGTGGGCATGCCAGCCACGCCGGGCGGCTTGCGCTCCCTAAATGCCAGCGCACCTCCTGAGACGCACAGCAACCCTCCCCCACTCCCTTCGTGACACCCTTCCACACACACACACACACACACACACACACACACACACGCACGCACGCATGCACGCACGCACGCACGCACACACACATACATATACACACACACACAAACACACACGCACAACCCCCAAACTGTGACTGGCAAAAACGCAGGCCACGCGCGTGTGTATGTGGCGTTTGATGTGCTGTACCGCATGCTGAGTCAGCTGCTGCGGTACGACGTGCAGTACGTGAGGAATTTTACGGACGTCGACGACAAGATCATCAACAGGTTAGTGATTTATCAGTCATCCAGGCTGTACAGCCATCAGTCTTCGGTCTGTACAGCCGTCTGGACCCGATGCACCGCGGCACACACACAGGGTCCACCAGGGTTTCAGGTTCAGGGGCCATTAGGGTCCGTGGGGGCGACCCGAGGTGCTGCTTGGATGCGAAAGATGCCGGCTTGGTGCTGCCGGACCAACCTGGCCGTGCCGCAGCCGTTGGCGGCGGGGGCGATTGCGGGCTCGAACCTGTCGCCGGCAGCCCCGCACAGCCCACTCTCTCCCCCCCTTCCGGGCCGGCCGTCGGCCGTCACGCTGCCTCCGCTCCCACCCCACCCTCTCAGAC